ATGTATGGATGTATGGATGTATGGTATGGATGTATGGTATGGATGTATGGATGTATGGATGTATGGATGTATGGATGTATGGATGTGGATGTGTATGTGTGTATATACATATACATATACATATATCATATATACATATATTGTGTTGATTTATTTGTATTTTCGTTTATTTGATTATGTGTGTGCAAGTGTATGTGTATCTGTGGTGCCGTTCCTCGTTGGCAACCTTGTATCGCGGACATGGCTTGAGCCAAAAGCTGCCAAACGCTTCCAACCAATAACCGCCAGGGACTGAGCTAGGTGAGACGTGATGTTCGGGATTTGGGGTCCAGGCGTTAGGGCCTATGTACATCTGCCGATGTGTATGTATGTGTATACATATATATACACACACACATGCTTATTGTTTCTATTTGTTGCTTTCCATTTGTTTAACTGTTTTCTATAGGTTGGTTGGGTGATTCATTGATTGATTGCTATATAGATAGATACATGGATAGACGGATAGATAGACAGATAGATAGATAGATAGACAGATAGATAGATACATAGATAGATGAATAGATGGATAGATGGGTAGATCGATGGATAGGGATCTGGCTGGCTAGCTAACCAGCTCGCTAGCTAGCTAGGAACATAGGTAAGCGGCAGGTAGGCGTACATCTCGCTTAGGCCACAGAAGCAAGACAACAGCGGGAGAGTCAACTACGAACACCCGGTAGACATCTCAAGCTGCATGGATATGACTATGACGAGATGATGATGTGATGCACTAGAAGTATCTGGTCGAGATTGCTTCAGAGTTCGAAGCCTTCAGCTCACGTACATACATGCATGCATTCATGCATAATTACATACAGACAGGCACATGTATGTACTTATATACATACACACCTGCAGACATCCATACGTTCATCCATCCATCCATCCATTCATCTATGCATCCATCCATGCATCCATAAATCCACTCATCCATTCATTTATGCATCCATTCATTTCCATTCCATTCGATTTCCACTTCCCTCTCCCTCCCCTCAATTCCCTTACCTAGCCTGCCCTTCCCTTCTCTTTCCTTCCCTTCTCTTCCATTCCATTCCATTCCATTTTCCCTCCATTCCCCTCCATTCGCTCCCATTCCGTTCCCTCCCTTGTCTTTCCTTCCCTTCCCTTCCGTTCCATTGCGTTTCCCCTCTCCTTCCACTCCGTTTCCTTCATTCATTCCGATGTATGTACTTTCTTCATGTACTTGTTGCTGTGTCCGAATGCGTGCCTGTCTCCTTCCCGGGCGCACACAATCATGGGTTAGTCTCTCATTTCCTGCTAGAGAGAGATGGTTGTGACCCCAACCGTGCCGCGGCACGCCCGCATGACTCCGTTGTAGCAGCTGGTATCCACGCTGACATGGCTCCTTCCAGGGGCCGCAAGCAATGTTTTGATGCTCACACTCGGACCCATCCAGGCGAGGTCTGAAGGCAATTGGGCTCGGGGTGTACGGCTCGAGGAAGCCAGGAATTAGTTTAATGCCAGGGGTTCTGGATTTTACAGCGTGGGCATTTTCTTCGAGCATTGATTCAACTTCAACCAGACCCGGAAATCTCCTTCCCTGCAAGTCTACACAACTTTCATCAAACAGTGAAGTCAGCATTCTGCGGCCCTCAAGCCACAGGATCTCGCGGAGTATTCTTTTGGGCTCGGTCTGGGCTGCACAAACTGCCGGAGTTCACATCTGCGGCCTATGATCAAGCCGTGCAATGCCAACGAAACACTCACTTGACATGTCCCCAGCACCCATTCGAGGCCAAGCTTCGCTTGCATCGATCCAAGGAGATGTAAGGCCCATTCCCACTGCCCACCCTTCTCCTTGAAACTTAGAGTCTCGATTCGGAAGTTTAAGTGTGTGGGGCTTGTTGTGGGGTGCTAGTGGCGTTCACAGGTTGAGAATGCAGCCGAACAGGCCAGGAACTCGATATCCAACAACGAAGTTTGTCAACACTTCAACTTCACTTAACAACACAGAAACGGCGAAAAGAACATGCCATAGAATGTAACCAAAGGCAGCCGCCCTACGTCAAGTCATGTCCCATCAAGTTTCAGCCTATAAAACTTCATCCCCTTCATTATCTCCCCCTCATATAGAAACACTCCCCACCTCCCCCGCGACTCAACTTTACTAAACATTATTTTTGGTGAAAATATTTCCATTACCAAGGATCCATGTATCGATCCTTATATTCCTCAGGGCTTCTTTCAGACCACAGACCCTGCAGTCTTACATTCCTGCCGTTGTTGCAGCCCACACAAGCTCCCCCTGCAGTCCCTGCACCCTACACTCCCGCTGCCCCTTGCAACCTGCAGCTGCCCTGCAGCGCCTGCAGTCCTACGTTCATGTGGCTCTCCCATGACAGCTGTGGAAAGGAAAACGTTTGGAAAGGGAACTCAACTCACCCTTTCTAGCACACTCGCTCTTGCCATCGTACGGCTTTGGATGCTGTACCAGTCCTTACACTCTGAGACACAGCGAGAGAGATAGAGAGAGGTAGATACAGATAAAGATACGGATGCGGAGACAGATACAGATACCGGTACAGATACAGATGCAGATACAGATACCATTAGAGACAATTGGATAGAAGTAGAGAGAATTAGAGAAGTAGAGAGAAGTGGAGAGAAGTAGCGGGAGGTAGAGAGAATTAGCGAGAGGTAAAGAGAACTAGAGAGAGTTAGAGAGCAGGAGAAAGAGTTAGAAAGAATTGGAGGGAATTAGATAGAGCTTTATGGGAGAAAGACAGGGAGCGAGCGAGCTTCGATACAGGTCCAGAAGTTAGCTGTAGGTTCCGACACAATGTTTTTACGTGCAGGTTCTGGGTCCCCGACCCTGAACCCTCTGAGCGACCCCTTCAGTGTCCCCCAAATAGACCACAATGCCTGCAGGGTGCATTCCCGGGCCAAATGCTTCCCGAAACAAGCATTTAAGATTACGAGGGGGTTAAAGCGAGGAGAAAGAGATTGCGACTGAAGAGCTCCTACTCTGGATTGGAGCACATGACCCATGCATAATCATGTGCCGATACAAGGCTCCAGTGACGGGCCCAAAGTCAAAGAACAACAGCCCGCATCATCCCAACGGCTCGGGGCACAGAATCTGGCCGCTGACAACATCTTACAGAAGAATCGAACCAAACCCCCGGATTGACGTACGAGTGTCAATGCAGCTGATGGCGGACACATAGCTGATGGTGTCCTCGATCCGAGCCGTCAGCGGTGCTTGAATTCAATCTTGTGGCTGCCCAAATGCAGTGCTGCTCGAAATGCCTCCATCGTTGTAAGACCGTTTTCGCTAGGCGCAAGTAAAATACCGAGAAGTGCCTGCTAAGTCCAAGACCAAACTGTCGCACAAATGGCCACTCTCGGCTGACTTCAGAACAGGCACCGGCAGCACTTTCGCCACAAGCATCTCCTGAAGGAGGCTCAAGCATGGCTGCCACCTCGGCTGCTGTTGAGTTGTTGGTTCTTCCGGTGCCGGTTTCAGAGTGCGAACCCCATCCTTTTTGTCGCAGCGGCAACAAAAAAACAAAAAAAAAGATCGCCCTTCATCTGCACCTACATCCCGATCCTGCAGGGTGTGCGAGCTCGTCGCAGTTGCACAACAGGCTCTTTCCCAGTCAAGCAGCTGAGCGCCTCTCTGGCAGGATGATATGGCAGCATTGTAGCCTTAGCTTTGAAGTGCACGCAGGCTGAACTGCGACCTGGCCCCGCGAGGTGCGCCGCGAGGTCTTGTGATGGGAGCGGATGAGTAAGCTTGGAGGCCACGCAGGAGCCCGGGAGCCCCATCTACGGTTCGCCACTGTGAGGCATCAACAGATGCAATGCCACTGCCCCTGGGCACGTTGCCCTGTATCTTGCCTGCCTGCGGGTGTTGCTTGGGGATACCACTGGTGGTTTGTTTGGAAACAGTTGGGGCTTTCTCCACCTCGAACGTCCAAGGCTTAGGCTTTGGCGAGGCTTGTGATCACGTCGGTCCCCACATCCACATGGCTGGCCACTTGCAATGCCTTATTGCTACAACGTGGCACCAGCCTTGTGATTACAATGGCACGAGTACTGGATAACTTAACCGTAGACGTAGATAGAGATACTTGCACCCTCTCGAAGTCCGGAGGCTGAGAACATCCGCTGGAATCTTCGCGGTCCTCATGTCCTCGGCTGGATGTCTGCACGTGAAAGGCTTCATGGATTAAGGCAGGGCTAGCCAGCGGCTAGCCGCAAGTTCCTCCGAACTGTAGGGGTCGACTGCAACTTTTTCCACAGGCTTGAACTGAGCTCGCCCGGCCAGATCCCTACTTAAACCCTAAACCCCTCAGAATTGAAGCCTAAGCCCTTTAACGTCTGTCCCGACGGAGGCCTCAAAGAGCTGCAAGGACGGCTGCCACTGCTCTCCAGTCCTTCGTCTCCAGGCTTTGGGGCTTGGGGTTTTTGGCTCCTCCGCTGTTAGACATGTCTATGCCACATGCTGCGCACCTCCTATGGACGGCTTCAACTTAAACTGGGAAGGCTACACTGTAAAGCTCGGGCGCGTCTTGCACAGGATCCCATCCAACGCTTGAAGACCGTCCAGCTGCAGGGCAAGAATGGTGGTGAAAAAGGTCGCAAGAACAACCTTCGAGGAGAAGCCAAAAAAACAAGCGCCTATACACTGCCCTTCGAAAACCGTAGCTGCCCTCAAGACCATCCAAGCAAGCCCCAGTAATCCCTGCAAAGCAAGAATCTGGTAGGCAAGCATGGCGGTGTTGTAGAAGACCGCATCTGTGGCAACACCGGCCGGCCTACCAGGGGCTTCCAAAGGTCTCAAAACTTTGTTTGCAAGATTGGGGTTTGTAGCTGACAATTGCTTGGTGGCTTAACGTGTCACGAGGCTTTGGAGCTCCGCGCTTTGGGCTTAGCCTTGAGGTTGGGGAACCGCCTCGGGGCTGGGGCACTCGATGTCGGATTTGGATGGCAAGACAAAAGGGGAGGGCCATGTGCGCAGTCACACCTCCCAAGAGTTTTTGGAAGGCTGTAAAAACTGACTGTACCAGATCACATGCTATCCCGTAGCATACTATCCTGTAGCATACTATCGTATGCTAGTCTGTCCCCTCCACAACAACTGCCGGGACAAATCCTTGGAGCGCAGGGCTCAGGGACCCAGTGCTTGCTTCGGCCTGGGGCCTGTCCAGGAGTACCGCATTCTCCTGTATTGTCTTAGAATAATTGAAAGGCATAAAACTATACTCGTACGACATTCCAACATACCGAAACATAACGATAATCGCACAAAAATATACTGGTAAAATAGTATTACGGTATAATATAAGGCAGGTTTCCATGTGATTTCGGCAACCCTGGCATGCTGTGGAAGAGTTGAACCGCAAGCTGCCACTGGCTCGCTGCAGAATAGGCGGTGCACAGAGTGCTATAGCAATACCTGGGCGGCAAGACTCAAACCATATTCATTGTTCCGTGTTTCACCTTTCCGATATCCGGACACAACCTGAGGCCAGAGTACATATCCGGCATGACTTCGGCATCGCGCATGGTGCCGAAAAATTGTCGGGTGAGCTGCCACTGCCTCTAGAAGCCAGAGGAGGATTGTTGATACTAGGGCTGTTGGGCTGATCACCTTGACTAACCGTTACAGGCCGGTTCAATGAGTCTTCAGGCTTCGACATCTTCCACACTCTCAAGTGGGACAGCAAAGGCACAGGAGGAGGTTTTGTCTCAATGCAATCTCTTCGGAGCCTTGCAGCAAACTGTGACGAACTGGCCCTCGTCATGTCGGAAGATGAGCAGTTGCCAATGTGATCGTCTCTGCTTTCCAAACTAACACCCTACCGTGTCGAAGGCGCCTATATGTAAGTTTGGGGAATGCCAGTTCGAATGCCACGGAATTAAGTGCAGCTTTGTCGCCCACCCTGAGCCCCGGCGCTCATTGCAGCGTTGTAGCTGAAGCGGTCAGGCGAAATCCTGACCGTTTTGGGCATCGGACTTTGGGGCCCCCAGCGAAGGGAAGAGACGTCGAAGCGGCCTGGCTTCGAGCATGGACCGAAAAAGGTCCAGGGCCTCTTCCCAAAGCTGAGCAGCCTGGACAGAACGCAACTGTTTGTTTCGCCAACAGACGAATCCAGCGTAAGGGGGAGGGGCATCGTCTGTCGGTAAGCCTGTGTACATACAACAATGCCTTAATACGTGCCTGGCTGCCTGCCCGCCCGCCCGCCCGTTTGCCTGCCTGCTACCGACCAACCTACATAACTACATTCCTACATACGTAAATACATACCAACCTACCTGCCTACCTACCTACCTACCTACATTTTTAGCACTCGCACTCGGCAAAGCAGGCGAGGTATGTGGGAAACTAGGTGGGAGCCAGGGCCAGAGGACGACATACATACATACAAATACATACAGACATACATACATACATACATACATGCATGCATACATACATAGCTACATGCCTACATGCATGTACGTGTATATGATGTGCATACATACATATCTACATATCTGCATACATACATGCCTGCATGATCCTGCATGCTAATATATACATGCATGAATACATGCTGAGGCACCTGCGCACGTACATACATGTATGCATATTAATATGTGAATACACCCGCGCAGGTTCTCGGACGCTCTCAGGAAGCCGCAGACGAGACTGGGCCACTGGGAATTCTATTCGCCTTTGTTCACCTGGCCTTTGTCTCCTCTGCACATGGGACAGCAGTCAGATGCCCAGTCAATGCCCATTGCCCTGCAAAGTTTCCCAAGACCTACGAGTTGCAGAGGGAGCTTCAGACTTTCTCAAGACTGTGCACGAGCTGAATGGCTTTGTGAACAGGCAGCAAACAGAAACAACTCAACCGAGCCCTAACCGAACCCTCAACCTGTCCAGTGACACACCCGACCTCGAGGATGCTCATGGTGGTGTTGAAGCTGACGGTGTCCTTGAACAGCTTCAGGCTAGTTAGTTTTCGCGATCCGGGGCCCAAAAAGTCCAACACACCAGCGCATGCTTTGCTGCATCTGTGCCTCTCGCCCTTGACAAGAAACGATTGTGCATGATTGCTTTTGAACCCTAGCGCAGATTCCCTTGTTGGCCTCTTCGCTCCAATCCACAGTATCTTGCAACAGACACCAATGCTGGGATCGGCTTCGAGTAGAGAGGAACTGACTCGGGGGCCGGAATCGAAAGAGTGGGGGGGCTTCACCAAAAGGAGCTTGACGAGGAGGGTCCGGTGTGATCTTCATCTCCGGCATGCTGCGCAACAGCTGCATCGACAGCCGCCAATGGGCATTCCTGGGTTAGCTTCATGACTGCACGCTCTTCGGTAGATCCATGGTTCATCTGCACGCGACCCTATGTTATTGTTTCAGATCCATGGCTGCTATCCATGCACTCAAAACCACAGAATCTGCACCTCACTCCAGCACACGACTCTCAATCCGTCTCTTCGCTTCTCGCATCGGTTGCTCCATGTAAAACGAAGACCCCACGACGACAAGAAACCGCCATTTCTACCCTAAAGGGGATGCCTCAGCAATTGTCCCAGCAATACAAGTCGCAGGGCATCTTGAGATGATGGAAGGGAGAGCCGTGACTGCTCCGATTAGGCATCAAGCCAACCCTGGCCTCGGTAAAGCTCACAACATGCCAGGTTTTTGACCAGGAGCTTTCCACAAGCACTGATGACGGCATTCCCGGTACTGGCATCAGGGGAGACCTCCGCAAAAGCTTTGGGGCTTCTGCTCTGGGATCTGGCAAGGTCGGAAGGCTGACAAACTGATAGCAGATAGCAAGGCTTCCTGGCCGTTGCCGAGGGGGGAGAACAACCCAGAAGGCCTTCAAGGCCTACAAGGTACTGCAAGGGCCTACAGAACACCGCTCTGAGAGCTAATTCCCCACAACAACTATGTAACTGCAGGTTCAGATTTCGGATCTGACGGTGCAGAGGGCTCGGGGTTGTAAGGGGTTGTGATTGTCGGGCTGAGGATTTAAAGCGCAGGGTCTTTGTCTACACTCGGCTGCAGGACATCGTGCACCTTGGCGGCTGGCATGTCCTGCATCCGACATGGTCGAAGAGATTCATGAATTCAGGGCTCGGTGTGACGGCCTTTGATCTTTGGCTTGAGGTCTGGAGTCAAAACTTGCTGGTTGCGTGTCCCGGAACTGGGACAAAAACCTTCGATGCTCGAGTCTGCAATCCAACCCCACAATCCTAGGACGAAGGCGGCCAGACATATACTGGCGTTTGAATCACACGAACCATATATTGCAGGTCCTAAGCATGACAGGCCCCGCTCCCCCATTGCATTCCTCCAAGAGCTGCAAGGCCAAGTTCCAGCAGCCCCCAGCTTCCTAAGGCGATGGAAGAGTGTGGTACACAGCTGAGTCCGACTCGAACTCTTCAAATCTCAACCCAGCTTTCTTGTCGGCCGGGTCGTTCACAAAACACCCACAACTCCACAACACCAAGGACGAAAGACCCTCCTCTACCCAAAGAGGAAAGACTCTCCTCGGCAGGCTAGCGCCCGCGAACCCAAACTTTCGGATGCCACCACGGCTCGAACGCGCGAATGCATGCGTTGAAGCTGACGGTGGTGGGCACCACTCCATCCTCTTGGACTTCAGGTGGTCACGCGCCGCCTTTCGGTTTCCTGTACTCTTTATGCACGAACAAACCCACAAGATCACGACAAAACCTGGGGCAGAAATGGGGGAAGTTGGCGCCACAGAAACGCAAGGGCAAGCAGGAATACCAACTAACCCCCGCACCTCCATCATGGAGGAAAAGGTCTGGACCGCCAGCTCCCATTCGCTGGCACTCTCCTTGCCGAAACCCGAAACACACACACACAGTTGAGCTTGAGGGCAGAGTCTTATCTTCAGCGTCTGGGACCTCAGGAGCCTAATGACTCGAGAAGCTGAGAAGCAAACTCCTGACCCTGGAGCTCCAAAGCGAGACCCGACGCGAGGGGTTTACACTTGCAGATACCTCTAAACTTACAACGGTAAGTACCTTCAAATGCCCCAAACCACAGAAACTCTCGACTTAAACCTTAAACCTAAGTCAAAGATCCTTGAATTTGAAGAATCCGGATATGTTGACACAGGCAAGACTCAAGCGAGCTGACAGTGGCCTCAGGCTCGTTCAAGCTAATCAGATGGGAATCGGAAGTGACAAAGGAGAGCAGAAGCTTGAATGAACTGTCTTCCTCTCGCTTGCTGTTGGCCTTCTCGCCCTCTTCCCTCCAGCCTTTTGAGTTCGTTCACATTCCCAATCCCCTCTTCATTGAAGGGCTCTGAGCAAGATCACATACCACCGTAGATCCTGGAAGCCAGTTGGAGCAAGTACAGTCCAAGATACATTATATGTGATGACATCACGGGGCACGGATGCGTGCGCCATATCCCCAAGCATCTGCCCGGCCAACTGCCACTGCCTCGGTTGGGACCCATGCCGAATTTAGTTGTGGCAGGCTGAGTGCAAGGTGAAATCTGGTCAATATACCAGCTTCAACACGTGCTACATTGCCAGTTCCTTTCTCTGGATCCTGTTACATCCTAACTCAACAGAACGCGGGGCTGCGAAACAACAAAGTTGCAGCGAGAAAGCCAATATCGCGAAGTGGACACCAGCGTGCAACTGAGTGATGTTCACTGTGGTGTTCTTTAAGGGCCCCAAGTACGAAAGGCCAAACCACTACACGGCGCACACGGACGCGTACAGCGCGCACGCCTCCTGCTGCCCCTGTTCGGTTAATGACAGGCAACCCATGTAGATCTCCTTCAGGCTTGAAACTCAACTGAGCATTAAACTACTAAACCTATCAGAAGTTGTCTTCTGCTGTGCCGCAAGCGGCCCCTCTCTTCCCAGCGCACTGATGGCAGTATTGTAGTTGACCACGCTCCTGATAGGCATGGAGCCAGCAGGATTTGGTCTGCTGACAGATTGAGGCCGGGATTAGCAGGTCCAATGTGCTTCCAACTTTGTCTTTCGTCTTTCATTGCAGCGAATTTCCGCTCAACACATGCTGGTAGGAGACGGGAGGCGGACACACGCGCCGGCTTGCCATGTCGCGAAACAGGCGCAGCACCATCTGCCAGTGACCCGGGACATCCTGGGCTGAAAACTATGACAGAATTCACTCGAGAGTCGGGTGGGGGATACGCAAACTGTCTGTCGGTCAGGGTTTTGTACTTGCTAGTCTGTTTTCCAGAGTGGTGTTGCCGAAGTCGCAGTGTTGAGTATGGATGCCGCGACGATTTGACATAGCTTCCTGCAAACAATCCTGTTATAGGAACTGGTTTGGCATTGTATTTGTTGTCCATCGGGTGTTTTCCCGATATGGATCTCCGTTTCAGTTCATGACAAGCCTGCAGCATCTCCTCCAGCCGTCAGAACACGCTGTCTCTCTGTCACGGAAGAGGTTGAGCCCCATGCACCAACTCCGAAACCCTTCGCCGAAGTTCCAGAACCCGGAGGACGGCATTGTAGGTGAAGGCGTCGGGTGCCACATCCTGAATCCAGCAGCTAGATTCAGCTAGATGGGATTTGTCTCATTGCTGCTCCGCGGGCGACAAAACACCGCACGGGAGCTCAGAACCGACAAGGCCCGAAGATCCCAGCATCCAAATGCATCCACTAGCCTCCAAGCCCTCCACACGAAAAAAGTCGCCTGCGAACCGCAGAGCTCACCGAAAAGCTGCAAGGCCGCTTGCCATTTGGCTGCTTCCTTGCGGCTTTGGCTTTCAGGTTTCAGAGTTGGGCACAAGGGGGGTGAGGCCGTGAGGTCGAGAGATATAGACTTCCCGCAGGAATAGGACATGAATTGAAAACACCACCTGTCCTGCCAGATTTATCAGTTGTTGTAGAGGCCATGAACACCTCTTGGCTCGCTTCAACCATCGCACAGTCACTGTGAAAGCCATTTTCAACCCGAAAGTTTTGGCTGAATAAAACAGCCGTCCATTACACCCAGTGACTTCGCAAGCGCTGATACCAACATTGTAGCCTGAGCGATCACACAGACAGGAAGCTTCAAAGCTGCTTTTGGAATGATCAAGACAGCAGCAGCGGCGGCGGCAGCAGCAGCAGAAGCAGAAACCGCAACAGCCGCAGCGGCAGAAACGCAAACGGCAGTACGGACTACAGCAGCAACATCAACAACGCAGCAGCAACCGCAGTAGCAACCGCAGTAGCAACCGCAGCAAGAGTAACTGCATGATAAGCAACAGGAGCAGCGTCACCGGCAACAACAGAATCGACCCAGGGTAGCAGCGACAGCTTAAGATTGCGAACCCCGGACATCCAGAAGAACCCTGCTGCAGAGAACCGCAAGATGTTAAAACTAGCGTGTTGTAAACGGAGGCAGCACGTGCCACGTTGGGGGGTGGGTGGTGGGTGGTGGGTGGTGGGTGGTGGGTGGTGGGTGGTGGGTGGTGGGTGGTGGGTGGTGGGTGGTGGGTGGTGGGTGGTGGGTGGTGGGGGTGGTGGGTGGTGGAG